ATTCCGGGGAGTAAAGAGGATGCAAGTTAGAGACGGTGATAATTGGTTTGGGACCAGGTGAAGGCAGTAGCGTTGCAGAAGAAAGAAAACAATTGCAAATGGTGGAACCGTGGAAGTCGAAGAGGGTGGGAAAGAGAGAGGGTGTGAGGAGTTTTTTTTTTTTTTTTAAATAATCATTTAAAATAATAAGAGAGAGCATAACAGGTGGGGCACTATCAATGAGTTGGGATACTGTGATTGGATATTACAAGGATGAGATGGTGCGAAAGCACACTTGGGCAACAATGTGGGACCCACTCCAGCAACATTTTAATATTATAATAGGTAAATTTTGTTAACAAAGTTTATAAATATTTTTGTATCCAGCATTTTAAAGTTTATAAACATTTTAATATTATAATAGGTACTCTTTTTTGATACCATAATAGATAAATTTGTCCCTACACCGGCAATTAATAGATTACTAATTACTTTTAGTAATCTATGCGCAAGTAATATATATTGATACAAATCATCGTTTGCATTTAAAATAGGAGGTTGGCAAGCATATGCAAGCCAAAGCAAAACAGATGAAATATTACTTTCGAAGAGAAATAAGAATGATATGATTCATTCTTGAAATGGGTTTTGGATTCTTTTTTCCAATTTTCCCATTCCTTTAAGTTTTGTGAGAAGAAACCGAGGATTTAGCTTGGAATTGTCTTTTGTTTAAAACATTTTACTAAGGTTGAATTTTATTAATATTGTAACTAATTGTGTTTTACTGAATTGAAATGGCTTTATTAATTATTAGGATAAAATTATGCTTGAAATTTTGCTTTGCTTCAGCTTTTCGTATCAAATAGCTTTAGTATTATATAAAATTATTGTGATTATAATTAATTCTGAATACATGACGATATTGTTAGTATAATTTGTGATGCTCAGAGAAAGTTTGGATAAAAACTAAATTATAGTTTTAAATAATTTTACGGTTTACAAAATAAATACTACCTCCGGTCCTAATTATAAGAACCAGTTAATTAATTTGAGGAGATCAAGGAAGTAAGTTAAGTTAGTTATTTATCCTAAATAGGTGTTGTCTTTCCTAAAATATCCTTGCTAATCAAGTGTATTGACTAGAATTATTATTGTTAGAAGAGCTATTTTAGAAAAAAATGTATAATGAGAAACAAAGTGGATTAGAGTCTTATATTTAGGACCAAAATAAAAGTTAACTAGGGTCTTATATTAAGGACTGAAGGTAGTATATAAAGTTTATCTCAATTTATAAAAACCATTTATGTAGAAATCCAAACACCCCTTTAATTATCATAATTCCCTTCATAATCATATAAGCCATTATGCATGGGGAGAGTTTCAGTGATACCTGTGAACTCTAAGAGCATTTAGATTTTAGATTGCCCATTCCAAGCTAAATGCTTAAATTACAATCAGGACTTGTCCCCTCATATCCCTCAACCTTACAGCTTTTGTTTGGTAAAAAAAAAAAAAAAAGACTCACAGTTATTGAACCAAAAGTCAAAAGGGTTTTGGTGAAGAAGAAAATGAAGCGTGCCAAAAAATGACATCTATTATTCTACTACCTCCGGTCTTAATTATAAGAGTCAGTTGACTAATTTGAAGAGATTAAAGAAGTAAGTTGAATTAGTTATTTGTCCTAAATAAGTGTTGTGTTTCCTAAAATATCCTTACTAATCAAATGTATTGGTTAGAACTATCATTGTTAGAAAGGTTACTTTAGAAAAAAATGTATAAATATGAAAGACAAAGTAGATTGGGGTCTTATATTTAAGATCAAAATAAAAATCAAACAGGATTTTATATTAAGTATCGGAAGTAGTATTATATTATTACTCCTATACATACATCTCCTTCTTATCATCCTTCCTAGAAAAGCTCTTACGTATTCCGGTCAACACTGTCAAAAGCTGCTTCTTCCTTCTTTCCCGCTGCCAAAAAGCTTTTATCAATATTCCTCAAAGTTTTCCCCCTATTTAATTTGAAATTTTTAGATAAAATAAAGCTCGTTTTGATGTTATTTTTGACGTAAAATCAGCGTCCCGATCTGATTTTATCTTTTTTAAGTACACGTAACATTTTAATATTATGCGAGTAAAAAAATGCTAAATATATTAAAAAAATACGATTTTTTTGACCAGCAAAACAAAAAGAGATTAGAATCTTAAATACACCATAAAAAATATTAATGTGTTAAATAACTTGGCAAATAAAACCAAAAGCTGAATGTACTTTTATCCAACTAAAAATATCACTGTTCCTCTTTGAATTTTTTTTTTCAGAATTGTTGATTTTTGAGTTTTGATTCAAAATAACTCAATCATTGTTTTAACTCAAATTACCTTGCTTTAACGTGGCTCAGTCTCTATATTTTTTTTAATTCAATAAATTTTAAGAAGTATAATGATGAGTTAATTTGCACTAGCAATACCGTTTTAAATAACACACAATATTTGATGCACTCATCTCCCTAAATTTTTTTCTACTAGTACCTAATATTTTAAAGTAAATTTTTGTATAATTTTATTGTTAAAGTATTTTTTTCAGCAGTAAAGAGCACCTTGAACTTATGATACTGAGTGTTATTATGTTGGAAAAAAAATACTCCATATAGTGTTCGATGTAAAAAAATTATTTTAAAATGTTAAGTGCTATTGAAAAATATATTTGAAGACGATGAATATTACTCAACCCTATGACAAATTACTGACTTAGTTTCCTTCTATTTTTTTGTGCCAAGGGAACCGGTGCGTTGCTTTTGTGTGTGTGTGTGTAGCCACAGTCATATAACTGAGTATGTAAAAATTCTTCAAATAATCTTTATGGGAATAAAATAAATCAAAACCATGAATTTTAAAAAGAAGCGCAAGTCAAATAAGAACGTGTTAAGAAATCTATTTAAAATTATGAGAAAAAAGCATATAAACCGAAACAATGGGGTAGCAAATTATGAAAAAAAAACCTACATTTTTTAATTGATCCAGAAATAACCATGCGTTGATTTAGGAAATAGCGATTTCTAAATAATTTCTTTTGAATGATTAATTTTACTCACAAATGCATATTATTATGTTTTAATAAATAATTATACATCACTAATAGAGGTTAGATTTAACGAAAAAGTTAATTTTTTATAATATGATAAATCAATATTCAAGTCCCTGGTAATACTTGAAAATTTACATATAGCATATCTCTACGAACTTTTACATTTATGCAAATAATTCATATATTATTAAATTATTTATTATTTATCTGCAAATGACTTAAAGTTTAAAGAGTTTATGTTTATCGGAATGTAACTCAAAATTTGAAAGGTTCATATGCATGCAAAAAAATAAAATTTAAGTTGGTATAAAATTGAGAGTTTAGGGTTATCTACATAGGATTTTGAAAATTTGGAAGGTTTATGTATTAAGCTTTACAAATTTAAAAAATTATTTGCACATGGATTTGAGTTAAGAGAAATTTAATGTAATTTAGTTATTTTTTTTATCATTGGTTAAAAAGTCATATTTTTATTACTATTTTCTATCCTTAATATAAAAGTTAGTTTGATATTCAATTTGATTATAAATATAAAGTCCTAATCTACTTTATCTCTTATATTTATCTATTTTTTCCAAGTTAGTTTTATAGTAATTACACATGTTAAAGATTTTATCAAATAAAAATTCTAACTAAGATACATTATTAGTAAATGTATTTTAGAAAAAATGATACTTATTTATTATAATTAACTAATTTAACTAATTTTTTTAATCTATTCAAATTGATCAACTAGTTCTTATATCTTATATCATTTAAATGTTTGATGTTTCTGAACTGTCTCATTTACAAAAATTAGTAATATTTTCCACGTGGCTTTCATAAAGGGCTTCTCTGGAGATCCTACCCGGATGCACAGAATTTGAGCATCCTACGTGGAAGTATAGTGATCTCAGCAAGTGTGCTTTTTGCATCCCGATTTTATAGATATGTTAAATTACTTATTGGATATGAGGGGAAAATTAGATAATTAGATAAATACATAGGGTTTGGGCAAAAAAAAAAAACAGAAAAAACAGATAGATAGATAGATAGGGATCTGCCATCATAAACGAATAATTAATTAATTCAATAATTTATTGTTATTAATTTTAGACAGTCCAATTTTATTAACTTAGTAATTTTTTGCTATTTATTAATTAAGTGATTGAACAAATCAAATAAACATTGATTAATTCAATGTACTTGATTATAATTCATTTTTAATTTGAAAAACCAATTTATTTTAATTATATCACTAGATTGCTCCAGAACACTTGAAAGGTGTTTGAATAGAAATCAAATCATAATTTTAAAAGTGATTTTAAAATATATAAAGTAAATATGTGAGAAAAAATTTATTTCGATTTGTATGAAAATACTTTTTAAAAATACTTTTTGAAATTTTGAAACACCTCCTTAATTTTAATTCATTCAATATAGAATCTCATGACTTATTTTTTTATGACTAAATTAGTATCCAATTTTTATTGTGATCAGATTCATTGTTCATAATTTTGGAAATTTTATTTCAACGAATCAATAACCATTAAGTTTGTTTGGCAACACATCAGATTTTGAAACATATAATAAATCTCATCTCAGTAAATCAACATTAAATCTTATTAAAAAAATGTAAACACGTCAAAGCTATAAATCTATTGTTTAAAATTTATTAATTACATATTTATTAGCATTTTAATTTTCAAATTACATGGACATGATCTTTTAAAATTTGATTCTCATTTAATGTTGATTGATTTGATTTAAAAATCAATTAGTTTAAATTTATTATTATTATTTAATATTTAATATTTTTCCTAACATACATACGTACATCTATATACATAGGATTGGCAGTTTGGTACCATTGACTGTTGACTCTCTCAAAGACTTTTGAAATTGAAACACTCTCTCTTGCTCTGCAAGTTTCAGATTCCGAAATTTCTTTGATTCATTTCCTTTCCCATGGATGACGAGGTGCGCCAGATTTTCGACAAGTTCGACAAGAACGGCGACGGCAAGATCTCCTCCGGCGAGCTCAAGGAGATGCTTCAGTCTTTGGGCACCAAAACTACGTCGGAGGAAGTCGACCGTATGATGAGCGTGATGGACAAGAACGGCGACGGCTTCATTGACCTCAAGGAATTCGCCGAGGTCCATTGTGCCGGAGCTAAAACTAGCGCCGATGACACCAAGGAGCTCCGTGACGCTTTCGATCTGTACGACCTGGACAAGAACGGAGTGATATCGGCGACCGAGTTGCACTCGGTGATGAGGAAGTTGGGGGAGGAGTGTTCCCTAAGTGACTGCCGGAGGATGATCAGCGCCGTGGACGACGACGGTGATGGGAACGTGAATTTTGAGGAGTTCAAGAAAATGATGACTCGGTCTTATAGTCACACTGAATGAAATCCCAACGTATTGGGTAGAAGGTACTACGGTTTAGGGACTGTACAATTTCTGATCACTCTTAATATAAATTTACAGACGCTTGTCTTTCTTCTCACGGAAAAGGACAACGCGGTTTCTGAATTTTATCTTATTTACATTACGGTAAAGTTAATTTTATTCGTTATGGAGAAATTTATATGTAAGTTACTATAATTTTATCTTATTTTAATTAATTTAATTAAGTTTATAATTTTTTGGGGTCTTTATGCTTTTCTTATTTATAAATATTGGTCTCCATAATTATAATTTCCTAATTTATAAGAGAAACAATGATAGCAACTGATGTCTGATGATATTACTTCTACTCTTTTTTTTTTTGTTGGTCAACGATGATATTACATTTACTCAACTTATACTTAGATTAATCTAAATAAAATCAAAATAAATCATGTTTATGTATAGGAGATGATTATCAGTGTTGCAAAAGTTAGTATTAATTTTTACAGTTTAATTGAATTTTGGTCTTGATTCTTATAATTCCAAATTACTAAATTTTTTCCCTCCAACACATTAGTCTTTATAGTTTTACAAGGACTTGGTTTGGATTAAAATTAACACAAAAATAGGCGACTTAAATACATGATAGAGAACAAAAAAATTGATTTTGAATGGATTCAACTTAGCACCAACAGAAAAGGCAACTTGAATTCATTCTCTATTTTCGTACTTTAAAAGCTAATTCATTTTCTGTTTTCATACTTCAATTTCAAATCTAGTTTTACCTATTTGAGAGGTTGTAATCATTTTTAGTGACTGCAACTTTTGCAGCTAAAAATAATTGAACATAGTCGAGGTTATGTGTAGATAGCTGCTGAGAAAAATTGCACAAGGTTCTTGTAACAAAAAAAAAATCCTAAAAAAGGGAAATTTTTTATTTGTTCCTTATTACGTGTTTTGGTTCTGATCTTTATACTTCTAATGAGTTTTAGCTTTAGTCTCCAAGAGATTTGGCTATAATCCCTATAAGTAATGGTGTTAACTAAAACTAATACTTTGATCAATCGTGGAACTAAAATCAGTAGAAGAAGAAACAAATCTCACCAAAGAGAAAGATGACTTTTGGGGGGGGGGGTATCAAAAGAATCTAAGACACAGTGATGGATGAAAGTTGGATGATTAGTACCCAAAGCATAAAAACACAAGAAAAATAGAAAATGCTCTTTGATACTTCGCCTAGATTGGATATGGCTAATGAGGTTGAAGGAGCTATGCTGCTCGTGGTCGTGAGAAGACGCTCTAATAATCTCTTTATTAGGCAAGAGATCCAATTTGTAGATGATGAAAGATAGGATGGTCTAGTTGCTAAAATATGATAATTTCGAGATTATTGATCTTCCAAATAACTTTTATGCATTCAAGTTAGGTAACAAGGAGCTATGCAAGAAACTCTTCTTTGATGGTCCGTGGTTGATTGAAGGACACTATTTTGTTGTACAAAAATGGAGCCCAAAATTTAACCCATATTCCAACAAGGTGAAAATACTAGCAGTTTAGGTTAGATCTCTAACATGCCGACGCACTACTATGCAAATTGCAAAAGATCATATGTGGGAATTGGGAAACATGATTGGAAGAGCGTTGAAAGCATATCTAAACACGTTAGCATAGAGGAAAAAACAATAGCTTAGAGGTTGAACGAGGGAAATATGGACGAGTGAGTATTGAAGTTGACCTCAATAAGCAACTCTAATCAAGGTTTATGATACCAAAAAAAGATACATAGCAGAATATGAAACTTTATATACCATTTGCTTCAAGTATAGGATGTATGAATACACACAAGACGTCTACCTCTTGAAAATTGAACGAATAGCACATAACCTAGTTTTAGTGTGCCTGGTATCTTGGGAGATGTGCAATATAGTAGTTGGATAAAAGCAAACAAAAAAAAAATCAATCAAAGCAAACTGGAGCTTTTAACCTAAAGGGAACAAAAGGAGGAGGAATTACTAGATTTGACGTTTTGGAAGAAGAGGAAGTACCTGTTATAACACCTTAGCTTTTAATCTTTTTTCATATTAAATAGAAGTAATTGGAACCACTTATTAAGTCTTCAAGTTAGGAAAATTTAAATTTCAAAGTGTTTGTTCTTGGGTTACTATTCACATAATCATAAAATTTGGCATAATTTTAAAAAATCATAACTAAATCTAGAAAAATCAAAATGAAGTGGTTTCAAGTTTTGTTTGAAGCTTACTAAACAATCTTCAAGGAAAAAATAGTTTCAGATTACTAGTCCTTAACGTTGGAGCCTAGTTTTCATGCCAAGTTGCACTGTTTATTTGATCAATTTTTAATTTTTCATAATTTATGTCTAACTTTGGATAAGCATAACTTTTTGTACAAAACTCTAATTTTAATGAATTACCACTCATTTTGAAGCTGAAAATGAGATCTATTAGGCTACCAAGTTTTATCATCAAACTCCTTCATTTACACTTCAAAATAGGTGCTAATTAGTTTATTTTTATCCCTTTTAGTCACTATTCTTGCACCATTATGCCATATCATTTCATGAGGGCCATTTCCCATGCCATTCACCTTAAAACCATGCTTTAACCATATGTTACAGCATACAAAGGTCAAATTCAAACATCCACAAACATCATATAATTACATAATATGATTTAAAAGTTCATATCAAGAAAGGAATTTTCAAGCAATGACCACCTCTTTGCCTTTGCCCTTTGTGCTTCCATCCTCTAAATAGTTAGGATTTAACATAATAGGGGTGAGATTTCTAAGAAATCTCAGTAGCAAAGAACATCAATTATAGTATCAAAATGCATGGTTAATTCATGTCATATGCTAGCATTTAACTTATGCAATATCATGCCATTAACATGCCATGGAAAGGGAGTACATAACATATCATTTAACAACTCAACTATACATATTTGCCAAGGCATCATCGTAAGGAGTTAAACACATTTCAACATTCAAAACTCAACTACATCGTGGCACATATACATGACACAAACAACCAATACAATTCAATACCAAAATTATAAGTTCTTGTTACCTCTTGATAAACTTGATTTCTTAATCTCTTCCTTATCCAATTTCAATGCCTATAAAACAAACAACAATGGTATTTCTAATCAACTTAACAATTTCATTAACACTTTAATTAACCTAAAACCCTAACCCTTTAACCTTCATTTTAGAGTTTTAGCATTATCTTCTTTAACTTAACTTTCACATGTTTTTCCTGCATGATTTTTCATGTAAAATCCATATATGAACTTAGATTTATCGAAATCCAATTCAAAAATTTTTATTTTTAATTTTAATGCTTCCAAACAAATTAATATTCTTCACATATCCCTACACATTTAACCTTCTAAACTCATTGGAAGCATCAAAATAACAAAAATCAAACCCTAGCTCCAAGAACCAAGTTTGACCAAATGATATCCCCTAGATTACACAAGTTGATATTCTTTCAAAAACAAGGTTCAAACATCATTTTCTAATCATTCTCTATCCTTTAATCCATACACAACCTTTAAATCATTCATATATCAACATTAACCAATTTGGGCAGCATCTAAACTTAGGGTTTTCATGCTTCAAACTCCATCAACATCATATTTAAAACCATCAAACCGTAGGACATTATGAACTAGAAGGAAAGGTAAGCTCTTACCTTGATTTAGGACTTGATTCTACCTAGGTTGAGCTTGAACTTTTTCTCTACCTTCTTCTTCCTTTGGCCGAAACTTCTCCCTTCTCTTGCTCTTCAAGTTGGTCAAAAATTTGGCCAAGAGAGAAGGAGGGTAGTATATATAAAATTGCTTAAAAAAATCTACCACATGATAACTCTAATTTACTACTTACTCTTATTCGTGAACACTTGGCTTCATCTTGCTTCAACTACTTTCATGATCTTGGCATATTAGTCCCCTTAGGTGTCCTCTCATTCAATGTCAAAAGCCACCTCATGTAACACCTCACATGCCACCTAGCATGCATGTGAGGAAAATGATAATTTTTTATTCAATAATTCATTCTTCCAAGCTTATCCTTCAACAATCTACATTATTCCACTTAGGTCCTTCCTTCTCATTTTGGCACAATTTCAACCAGAAAAATGAAAAAAAATTTTGTCCCACCAAGCTTATACTTATTATATTGTACAATCTTGCAATATCAGTTGAATTTTTTTTAGATCTTGTCAAATCTGTTATTTTCAAAAACTCATTTTTTGTGTGCCAATATCTTCTTTTTAATGAGAAAAGATTTTTCTAATTTTCTCATATTTTATTTTGACCTATAACTCCTTTAATTAAATTTTTCTCAAAATCAGCCTTTTACCAATATAATTCAACTTTAAATATTTTAAAGCTAACCTTTGTATCTCTACAGTTTGGAAACAATTTTAAAATTCATAATAATCCTTCAAATAATTTTTCTCATTTTTTCATTAATTATTGAGATCTTTGCATATTTTAAATAATTCAATTTGCTAATTTTTCCTTATTTAACCAAAATTTCATGAAATTACAGAAAATTCCAAAATAAATTATTTTCATACTATTTTTTATCTTTCAAGCCTTAAATACTGTTCTAAACCATTTATTCTATTTTTTATAAACTTTTAGGAATTTTCAGGAATTTTGAGCATAATTTCTAATTTTACCACTCCTTGACCGAAACTTTTCAAAATAATGGTCAGGTCCTTCCCTAAGTTTTATTTCAAAAGTTGTTCCGAATACCCTTTTACTACACTATCTGGCCCTTACTTAATCCTAAATTCCTTACTTTCAATATTAAAATTAACAGGATATGACACTTGTCATATCATTTTAGTGGAAAGAGACTAGCAAGCATAAAGTCCCTACTACATAATAGTGAAAGAAGGAAGATACATGGATTTTATAGGAAGAAGATGCCATGCTAGATATGAACAAGATGAGAAAAATAAAAATGTGGTTGAAAAAGGTGAACTTATTGAAACTAAGTCAAAAGGGAGGCACGGAACTACTGAGATGGCAAATGAGATGAAAGATAGGAAGGAGGTAGTAGAAAGATCCAAGATGATAGGAAGACAAACCCTAGGGGTATGGATATTGGGTTAAACCCATCAAAGGGTGAATAACTAACATAAAATAATAAAATGGAGGTGAAAAAAGAACTATCACAACAAGGCCTAAGATAGTTTTGCCAGTCTTGGATGGTGTGACCATCCAAATCTCAGATATGGAAGTGGCCAACCTCAACAACCATAGTTCAACCAAGGTGTAAACTCTTCTAGTGGTAAGATGTTCCAACAAGTTAGGCAAACTATGCCAAATCAAGATGAAAGTTTGAAGTTAGAAGGCATGATAAAACTCCTAATGGATAAGTTTGAATAAAAGGATTTACAACATATCCAAGAAATTCATCTCCAAACTCAAATTGGGTAGTTACCTAATGCACTTAGTTATATATAGAGTCAAGGTTCAGGGAAGTTGTTATCTCAGGTAGTAATTAATCCTAATATCAGTACCTAGCAGAATCCTAATATTGGTAGAGTTAATGCTATATCTCTCAGAAGTGGGAATTCAATTACCTCTGTAGATCCTGTCACTACTTTTACTTCAAAGGATGAGGAAGCTATCATTAAAGATTCTCCCCCTACTTCCACATCATATGATAAGTCTATTTTATCAAAACCACAAGTGGCATTGCAAGAAGAGCAAGAAAAAGATGAGGAAGGGAAAAAAGTGAGTGAGCAAGTCTTACCTTTTCTTACCGAGGTAGTTATGGCAGAAAGGAGAAAAAAAGAAGCTGAAATGTTCAAAGAAGTTTATGATATCTTCAAAAAGGTGGTGATCAATGTTCTATTAGTTGATCTAGTTGCACAAGTGCCCAAGTATGTGAAGTTTTTGAAGGAGTTGTGCACCACCAAGAGAAGGCTCAAGCATAATGGTAAAGTTGACTTATGCTCAGTTGTCTCTTCTCTTTATCAGATGCCAATGCCAGTGAAGTACAAAGATCCTAGTAGCTTTCTCATATCTTGCACCATTGGTGACATTGAGTTTTTAGATACTTTAGCAAATCTAGGAGTGGCTATTAATGTCATGCCAAAATCAATTTTTGCTCAACTTCAAGGTGTGGATCTTAAATCTAAAAATCTAACTGCCTCCCTTGTTGACAGATGCTATGTAGTTCCAAAATGAGTCTTGTAGGATGTCTTGGTTAAGGTAAAAGATCTCATATTTCCTGTAAACTTCTATGTTCTTGATATGGATGATACTAGATTTAGGCAAAAGGACATTTATCTTTGATTTTAGTAGGCCTTTTCTTAAGATCGCTAAAGCTATGATAGATATGCAAGTTGGTACTCTTACTATGGAATTTACTGGTAAAATCATTAGATTTGATGTGCTTAACTCTATGAGATATCCACCTAATAGTTGTGCTGAGATTGATCTTAGTTTTATTAATATCATTATTGATAACGCTATCATAGATTTTAGAGATAATATGATGAGTAAATCATGTGATATTTTTGGCTTAGATGATTCTAACTCCTGTTTATGTTTTGAAACTGGTAGTTGTGATACATACGTTGGTATAGATGCTATTGATATTAATGTTTTCACTGATTTCATTGAGATTGTTAGACATTCTAGTTTTGATTCTTCTATGCCTATCTAAAGCCCTAGTACTTTCAGTGATTCCTTATCTAGTACTTTTGTTGATTCACATGGACTCTCTTAGTTACTTAGTGTGATTGATGCTATAGATGAAACAGATTCTTCTTCATTACCTAATTCTGAGCTGTTAGTTAACATTGATCATGTCCTTGATATAAAGATCTTTGATTTTGATCTTGATGTTGTTTCTAACATGAGTGTTACTGATGGCACTTCTTTTGTGAATTGTGACATATTACTTGATTCTTCTGCTATTACTGTTTCTACTAATGATTTCCAAGTTAGGGAAGTCTACTCTGCTACTTCAGTGTAAGTTTCTAGCTTGACTAACATTAATCTAAAGCCCGTTATCCCCTCAACTGAGCAAGCTCCTTCTTTGGAGCTAAAGCTGCTTCGTGATTTGCTGAAATATGCTTATTTTGGGAAAGATGAGACACTACCAGTGATTGTAGCTTGGGACATAGCTGTTGATGAAGAAATTTACGTCCTGAGGTGCTGAAGAAAAGGATGAAAGCTATTGGATGGACTCTTGCAGATATTCTTAGAATTAGTCCTAATGTATGCATGCATCAAATTTTGTTAGAGGATAGTGCCGAAGCTGTGCATCAGCCATAGAGGCAACTCAACCCATTGATTCTTGATGTGGTAAAGAAAGAGGTTTCTAAACTTCTTTCTGTAGGTGTAATCTATTCTATTTCTGATAGCCAGTGGGTTAGTCCAGTTTAGGTAGTTCCAAAAAAGACTGATATTACTGTTATTTGTAATGATGAAGGTGAGCTTGTTCCAACTAGTGTCCAAATAGCTAGAGGGTATATATTCATTATAGGAGGTTAAATTTTGTGACCAGAAAAGATCATTACCCTCCTCTCTTTATATATCAAATGCTTGAAAGATGGGCTGGTAGATCCCATTATTGCCTTTTGGATGGTTTTTTTTGTGTGGATATTTTCAGATTTCTATTGCACCTGAGGATCAGGATAAGACCACATTCACTTGTCCATTTGGAACCTTTGCATATAGATGTTTACTATTTGGATCATGTAATGCACCTAGCACTTTTCAGCGTTGCATGGTTTTCATATTTTCTGATTTTCTTGAGCATTGCATAGAGGTATTTATGGATGAGTTCATTGTCTATGGTGATTCTTTTAATGCCTGCTTGGCTATTTTAGATAGGGTTTTGAAAAGATGCATTGAATATAATCTCATGCTGAATTTTAAGAAATGTCATTTCATGGTTAAGAAAGGTATTGTTTTAGGACATATGGCCACGTTTGGTACGCAGCACTGGAGGCGTGGGACAGGGATTGGGATAGGGAATCAATCAAATAAGCATGTTTGGTAGGTGGTATTAAAGAAGCCCAAGGATTGCACATTACCACATAAGTGGGATTGGGTAAACCCACCTCCCCCCTGGTATTGCATTTTAAAACCTGGGATTGAAAATTTTGAAGACAAAAATATCCCCACTTATAATAAATTTTGGACAAGTTTAACCTTCTTACATTTGCCTTAATTTGATATGTGTTGAGGAAATATTTCGTCAACCTCCATAGCCGTCTTCACACACGCTCTCGACCATCGCTCGTGCCGTCGCCCTCAGAGTTGCTCCCCGTCACTCTCTTTGTCCAATCCTCTTCAACGACTGGTAAGATAAACTCTATCCCTGTTTTTTTTTGGTTTCCATCATCAATTTTTTCAATCTTCTTCGATTCACAAATTCTTTGCCAGCCATATTCAGTAACGGTTGGCTTGTTACTTGGTTGATCTGATTGGCTACGCCTAGCATTTGTTTAGTATAAAACAGGATTAATGTGAATTGACTGGGTATTACATTTGAGCTTTGGTGGTTGCAGACCACCGAATGAATAACATTAAGAAATCCCCGTGAATGGGTTCAATTGAAGCTTCTTCGGTCACCGCCCACCATGAGCAAGAAAAGCGATATCATTATGTGCAAGCTGCCAAAGCATATTCCATGTATCATTATTGTGATCTCGTCACCTTTTCCTTTTTTAATTTTTCTTCTTACATAATTCCTCACTTTCTCTTTTTTGCCGTGCTGATGTCCTCTGGTTTTTCCATTGGTGTGGTCTGATTGTAAGCTAAGAACATTTTTCAAGGTACTACTATTCATTAGCTCTGTTTTAAAACCATTTGATAAAGCTAAAAACAAATCAATGCCTATGGTTTCATTTATAAATAATACAGTCTTTATAGCCTTTTGGTTTTGAAGCCAATTGCATTTGAAATTTGGAGGCTTGAAGGAAGAGTATGTAATCTGCCACAATTTTTCAGAATTTCCCCTGACAAAGCATACGGGGCTCTAGTTTTAAATTTATCTCTATGCTTCTTTTTGGTTTTTGATGTATTAAGCATTGATTTGTTTCTCTATATAGGTGAAATAAAATTCTTTTCTTTGTACAGTGGCTTGTCATGAAAAATAGATTTTCTGTGAAGGTTACGAAGTGCTGTGTGTCACTTTTATCAAAGCAAATATTTACTGGATCCCTGAAGCTTTACTCTTTACATTGCATTATACATCTATTGGGACATACAAGTGCTCTCTTACAAAGTTCTTTACCTTGTATTGTTGAATGGTCTCTTACGAGTGTCTCTTTTTTTAATTTGGATGGTCTTTGTCCAAAAAGAAAAATATAGTTGAATGAGGCTAAACTCAGTCAATGATTATAATTTATACATGTTAAACAAAATTTTTATGACTTTACATAATTGGTTATATAGTTATGGCACTATCAGAAGAAAAGAGAGAACTATTACGTTTGTTGCTTTTGTGGGTGAGCATGGCTAAGGCAATGGAGGGTTTTTTTTTTTTATGTGCGTGCATGACTGTCATATCAAGAAGGCGAAGAATTAGACACATACCTTACAAAATGGACTTTATTGCTAAGAGATCTTATCTAAAGGGATTGGTGTGTAGTAGTGATGTAGCATGTTACAACCTACTGAGAATGAATAGGACAACATTTGATAAGTTATGTTTATTACTAAGGGATGTGGGTGGTTTGAAGCCTAGTAAGAATATGCTTGTAGATGAGCAAGTTGCAATATTTTTACACATATTAGCACATCATGTGAAGAATAGAGTAATACAGTACAATTTTGGTAGATCTGGAGAAACTATTAGTAGGTATTTTAACTTAGTACTCAATGGTATGATGAGACTTGGAGATATGTTATGGAAGAAACTAGAACCTGTGCTGGAAGATTCAAATGATGATAAGTGGAAGTGGTTCAAGGTAAACATACATGTTATATCCTTATTATTAATTTTTAAGGATATGTGTAAAGTGTGTAATATTTATTTTCTTTGTTTCAGCGTTGTTTAGGTGCATTGGATGGAACTCACATTAAGTTGAGAGTTCCTTCTATTGACAAAGCTAGATACCGGAATAGGAAAGGGGAGATTACAACAAATGTGTTAGGTGTTTGCTCACAAGACAGGTATTTCATATGTGTTCTGCCTGGGTGGGAAGGATCTGCAGCAAATGGACGTGTTCTTCGTGACGCCATTAGTAGGAGGAATGGCCTGAGAGTTCTACAAGGTCATTATTACTTAGTTGATGCTGGGTACACCAATTATGAAGGATTTCTTGCACCATACAGAGGACAAAGATATCATTTAAGTGAATGGAGAGATGGACGACATCCTAGAAATGCACGAGAGTACTTTAACATGAGACACTCTTCTGCAAGAAATGTAATTGAGAGGTGTTTTGGAGTTTTGAAGTTAAGATGGGCTATTCTAAGAAGCCCATCGTTTTATCCCATTAGAACATAGAACCGAGTAATAATTGCTTGCTGCTTATTGCACAACTTAATTCGACAAGAAGGTATAGATCCTCTAGAAGATGAAGTTGAAGAAATGGAAGTTCATGTGGGCGGGGTGGAGAACCCTCCAATTGTAATCATAGATGCATCTGATGAATGGGCTGCCTTTAGGGACAATCTTGCCAATGAAATGTTCAACACTTTTACTGCTAATAGAACAGCTACATGAAAGAATTACTTAATTTGGAAGTAGTTGTTTTTTTTGGTTTGTGACTATTTTCCATGTGTAATGTTGTAACTTTATTTGTGGCATGTGTGCTGTTGTAACTTTATCTACGGCTTTTGTACTATTGTAACTTTATCTATGCCTTTTGTACTATTGTAACTTTATTTATGCCATGATTTAGTTTATGACTCTTTGCCATTTGTACTATTGCTACTTTATGGTATGAAGCTTCTTGGTTGCATTAATTTTATGTGAGGTTCTAACGTATTTTAAATGTTATAGTTGATTAAACATGTCAGACAAATCAGGAAAGTCAGATAAGCATGTGTAGACACCTGAGGAGGATGAGCTACTAATCTAGTGCATGATGATACTACATGATAAGGGTGAACTTGTTTCTGAAAATGGTCTTAGGCCTCGTGTCTTGAACCAATTACAAGACATGCTTCATGGTCTTATACCTGGATGTAGTTTAAAGGCCCATCCTCACATCCAATCTAGG